GAAGTCTGTTAAGAGAATCGTTTCAAGATCATAGAGTGTTCAAGAAAGTAATTAATTATAGGATCTCTAAATTATATTATTTTTGTTAAGAGCTAATATCGAAATTATCTGGTTAAGAAATTACAAAAATGCCCTTGAGAAATAAAATAGTCTGAGTTGATCCTGAATGAGAAAGTACTTTGAGGATTTGTACTTAACTCGATTAAATACGAATTTAATTGTTAAGTCCTGTCTTTGTACAGAAAAATTCATGATATTCCGTTTGTAAAATCTGAGAAGGCACTTGACCTGAAAATATTCGATTAACGAGTGAATACCTGAAGAATAATTTATCGGGGGTATTCTACTGTCAGAATTGTTCGAAAGGACTAAAATAAATGATAAGATTGAATTTAATAGTAAGATCGGACGGAAGAAAAGGATTAAAATACACTGAATCTGTAAAATAACCAAAATAACCCTATAATGGAAATGACCCAAGTATACCACCAAGCTCAGAAATGACGGGATATCCTCGAGCTCTGTAATGATTGAAATAAAATTAAATACCAAAATGACCAAATTACCCTTATGGCCTATACTAAGTAAATGTCTTGGAATAATTAAGGAATTCAATTAAGCACAGGTATTGGAATACCTTTAAAAGTAATGGAACACAATTTAAGTGAGTAAATCAACCCTAAAGCTATGTCAATACTTGAATGGCATGGATATTACTGGAATGCATATTCGTCTTCTCAAGTTTGGCTCGATGATAAATTTTGGAAGTATTCAGGTCAGCTCAACTCTAGATCGCATTCAATACTAAGAATTAGACGTTTGTTCGACAAATCAACCACGAAGACCAAATTGAGTGGAACAGAAGTAAAACATGTATATGAAATTCAGGAACATTTGAATTACTCTGGAAAATCCCGAAGTAACTAGAATGGACTTGAATGCTAAATAAATTAAGTAACCTCAATAAATGGGGATTAAATAAGTGATTTGGATGAATCTAGAAATGTTAATGAACATACATGATGTAATGTTCTTATGGATCATGAATTACAAATCAAGCACGTCAGCATTTCATGATATAGTGAAAGCGTGAACATGAAATAAAGACATTGGAAGATTTATTTAGCGATGATTCTGAAGATGATATATGGACTAGAAATTGTGGTATTAAAGAGTAAATATCCTGGAAGAACAATGAATTGACCAATCGATAAGCATTAGTTCTAGGAACTATTCATCTAAGAGTTGTTCGATAATCAGATCAAACGACATATTTTGTATAAAGATTTCTGAACACTTTCCTTATGCACATGAATCATATCAGAATTCTAAAGTATCAACCTTAAATGTCGGATTAGATTGGTTAGCAATCGATTCCCTTCAATAGGACCTCATGTTTAGAATCTGATCAAATTACATCAGTTTCATGTTATTCATTCTGATAACTACTAAGTGTCTCTGAGAAATACTTGGATATCCTAGTGTGTTCCACATGTACCACATGAAGATTTTATATGTTTTTAAATGAGTTTCACTGAAACTGTTGATTTACTGGTTTATGAACCATGACAACATGTTATATGTTTTCCGATTACGGGTTTTACCGTAAAATATGAATTATTCCTGATTTATGACATCATGGAATCTACTGGTTTTATGAACTATGTTTACTTGAAATATGTTATCGGGTTTTCTATTTTCATTGGAAAATATGATCTTGATAAATCACATACTGAATATTTTTATGAGACAATACCCGATGTTCTCAATACAGTTTATTTTGATATCTGATTTACCACATATTTTGATATGATTTCTAGTTACAGTATTTTTGTACATGATTTCTAAATATGGATTAATTACCGTTACAGTTCCCCTAGGTCCCTTTGTTGTGTGCAAGGGTAAGCCTTACAGTTCCCCCAGGTCCCTTTGTTGTGTGCAAGGGTAAGCCTTACAGTTCCCCCAGGTCCCTTTTCTATGTGCAAGGGTAAGCCTTACAGTTTCCCCAAGTCCCTTTGCTGTGTGCAAGGATAAGCCTTACAGTTCCCCCAGTTTCCTTTGCTGTGTGCAAGGGTAAGCCTTACAGTTTCTCAGGTTCCTTTGCTGTGTGCAAGGGTAAGCCTTACAGTTTCCCTAGGCTCTTTTGCTATGTGCAAATATAAGACCTTATCGTTTTTGCATGCTCCTCTGCTTTGTGCACAGGGTAAATATGTTTTAAACTGCTACTGTTTTAAAAGATATGTATCTTTTCACTGGTTTTACGGGAACACACTAGATAACCTATTCTGATCTCATGAACCTAAACATCCAAAATATTTCTCTGAACTGAAAGCTCATTGTCCGTTACCACCTGAAATATTAGTAGGATCTCCGCTCAATATAAAGGTCTGTAAATGCATGGATCATTAAGAAAATATATGTTTATCTGTATCTGCACGTTCTTCAGCATCATCTGGTAGTTCTGTATTATTTTGCTTTCCGAAGCTCACTCTATTACTCAACATTGCAGGTTAAAAGAATTATACCAGTGCAGTTATCGACTTCAGTAAGGGAGTTCTTCTGGTGTTGTTGCAGAGTACGGTACATAAGATTAAAGGGCATGTAATTGTATTTTGTTTTTATATACGAGTATAAAAAATCTGTTTTGTTTCTGCATAATGATAAATCATTTTATAAGTTACATGTTTTAATAAAAGTTTTAAATTTTTCGCTATTTTTATGGTGGGTCGCTCCGGTAGCCCTAATGTGACACTCCGGATCGGATCAGCTTACCCTTATCGGTCTGAGGGGATTACACTATCAAGCATCATGTATGTAGAGTTTCATTTTGTAGGAACATCAAGCCACAATACTTTAGTTTATTCTATCTTTGCTAATTTCACACTACGCCGAAAAACATTTTTTCTTGTTTCTGACCATTTGATATACTTCACACGTTCCCTTATCTTGACAACAATATGTTCAATGACCTTAAGATCATCCTTAACAATGAGATTCAACACATGTGTAGCACATCGAACATGAAAGTAAGCCCCTCCTCATAATAAAGCCCCTCGAGCATTAAAAGTTTCCTTCAAGTGATCTTGCATTTTATTATTACTAGAAGCATTATCCAGTGTAATGGAAAAAATCTATAGTCAATACACCAATCCTGAAGTAAGTCTAGCAAAATACTATACATAGTACTTCCAGTATGCGGTGAGTAAATATGACTAAAGTTTAAAACATTACTATTTAACTTCCAATTATCATTCACATTATGAGCGGTTAAACATAAATATCCCTCAGTTTGACAAAATGTCCACATATCACACACCAAAGAAATAAGATGAAAGCTATTACGAAGAGTTTTCTTTAAGTTATCTTTCAAACTTTTATGCAACTTCAAGCAATCCGCTTTTGCAGTATTTCTACATATGCTTCTAACTTGATTGTTCAAATATGCATAGATTTTTTATTATCTTCATGTTCAACCTAAGAAAAAGCATATCCATGCTTTATAATTGTTTTAGCTACCAACTCTCTATAGATTTGTTTGGCCATAAACATTACCTTATAGTCTCTCTGTTCTCATAATATTATATTGTTTACATTTTTCAATGTGTTTTGGCATATTGGAGGTTACATAATGTGAGTTACAAATAAAGGAAGCAGTCTTACAATGTTTGCAAAGTGCCCTCTCTTTTCCATCTTTAGTCTATCTGGAATTAATAACGAGAAAATGTTTCCAAACTTGACTTCGTCTCCTAAAAAAATATAGCGATTCTGCTACAACATTATTGGTATCACTTGGAACCTCGCATGCATTAACATTAGATTCCATGACTGCAAAAGCAAAAAAAAATATTATTAGTATTAAGTTGAACCTTACATGTCGTCAAAGACACATAATGGATAACATAAATATATTAATAAACATGTAATAAATACACACATAATTTTATTAATAATATAGAACCAAAATAATCTTACGATATAGAAATATACCTAGAGTCGCGTAGAATAAGTCTTTTTCAAATAAGAAGTTTTCTTGACTGACGAATAAGATATTTGAATTAGCATGAACGAGATATACAATAAGATAAAAGATATTGATGTTACCACTTTGATTACTAAAACCTCTTGCACTTAATTTTTTTAATAATAATTATAGTAGAAAATAATATTAATTTTTAGAATAATAATAACGATCATAACAAATTTTAAAAGAAATTAAATTAAAGTGAATCTTGAAAAAAAAAAGTGAAATATGATGTATTTGGAAATTGGAAGTCATCGGTAATGATAGCAAGCAATACCAGGATAAGGTGCTCACACAACAAGATACGAGGAGTTGAGTACCAGGTGAAGAGGCGCCTGCGTGTGAGAGTTGAAGTAGAAACGGAGACGCCTACACTTGATAATTAGAGTTGGCAGGAGTTGAACGACAATTGACTGAGTGATGACAGAGGAAATTCTTGAATTTGAATTTCTTGAGTTAAAGAACATGATACTTGTGTGTATATATATATATATATAGTATTTGTAAATAATATAAAATGAATTCTATATAAATAAAATTATACTTTAACCCAAATAGTGAAGTCTTTTTTGATTTTGAATATATATATATATATATATAGAAAGTTTACTTTAATTTAAACGATGAAAATTATTTTGAAAAAAAAATTAATTTAAATAAAATTGATAATTTATTAAAAATATTATATTTATAATAAAAAAGTAAAAAGTTTAAGAGGAATATAAAAGTAAGAATCTAATTATAAGATTGAAAACGATAATAAATAAAGTTTACTTATAATAAAAATATTAGACTTATAATAAAAATAAAAAAAAAGACTAAAACAAAGGAAATAATATTAGATTCATAATAAAAATAATAAAATTTACTTATGTTATGACTAAAACTTAATAAATAAAGTTATTTATTATGACTAGAACAAAGGAAATAATATTAGATTCATAATAAAAATAATAAAGTTTACTTATGGACTAAAAGTTAGATACAATGGGGTTTTCCTTTCAATAATTTCTAAAGTTACAACACAGCTTGATCCCCTCCGGACCTTTTCAATGTACACAAAATAACTTACATCTCTGTTGCCATTAGCCACCCCAAAAACATAGTTCCATCGTGTGTGCAAAAAGTTCAGACAATCTATTTACCAATATTGACCAGTCATCCCAAAGAATGAGTATTGATGAACTTGTACCATGTGATTGATCATTACCGTCCATGCCCTCTGCAACAAAAGAATTCTCAAAGACCGACCCATTTTACCCATCTGAAAATCCGACCGACCCGGAAAGGCAACTCGTAGTCTTTGACCACTGCTGGTTCCCTTTTTGCAGCCTCAGATTCAGACCACACATAAACTCCTCGTTCTTGTCGGCTTCCCGGTACAGTGTTGTCAAGTATAACAGCCACAATGAAGGCAATTACCATGTTTAATGACAGCAATGTATTCATAATGTAATTTACCTGCAAAATAAGATTAATGAGGGCTAAATATTCATTATCTGCTTTCTGTTTTTCACCAAAAGTACATAAAACTGAGGAAATGCAACCACCGAAATCACGAAACGAAGTTAAAAAAGAAGCATACCCCTTCATATTTTGTTCTGAAAGGGCCATGAGATGTCACTATATAAGGTTGAAAATAACTTGGAACAGACATGTTGGAATTTGGAGAGATGCCATATTGTTGAAAGTACGCCGGTATCGAGAGTGAAAAAAATAAAGATAACCCAACTATTATGATATTCCGAGAGCTCCCGGCCTCACTATAACGTAGATTCGACAAACCCAAAGCGGCAAGCATCGCCCACATGAAGCACAGGAGAGCAGCAACGATGACCTCAGGAATTGAAGCAATGAACCCTCCAACTTTACCTGTATAAATGGGGAAAAAAGCTTCAAATCTGAACCATTGTGTCCATTAATGCTTCACAATAAGACTACTTTAAGGCATTGCAAATTCATGAGACAAAACAATTATTCTTCAATATAGATTACAATAAGGTCTAAATCGAGTTCATACTAGCGATGTTCCAGTATCAGGGACGTAGCCAAGATCAAATGTTAAAAATTGTTTTTGTGGGTGTCTTTGTTTGTTCGTTTTTTTGTGTGTGGGGGGGGGGTGTAAAGGCCTTATTTAACTAATATTTAAGCTAAAAAGGACCTAAAATGCTATTATACCAAAAAGTTTGGGAGTGGCAACAGCCCCTCCCATGCACATTGTAGATCCGTCCCTGTCCCTGTCCCTGTCCAGTATTACTTTAAAAAGAACCTAAGCACCCCAGCATCATACTAAATGGTACGCACCATTTATCGCCATGCAATAACATTTTTCTCCACATTCTTTTCTCAATGACACCATCAATGTTAAAAGAGGCTATAATTTTCTGATGGTGTAAACTAGGAAAGTACTTCGCAAATCAAAAGCATGAAACATTCCTAGTAATAAGCTCCTATTGGTATGTTCTTGGGTTTTATTCTAACAATTATGAGATGAAATCCACAAGATATGTGACGTAGTAAACAAGAATCGAATCTTCAGAGCAGTCTTAAAAGTTAATTTGAATTCTCTTAACTATTTGATCTATGCAAACAAGGATATATCATCAGCTTTAATAGATTAACAAAGTTACTACAAGTTTTAGCTCATGAAACAATCTTAAAAGTTCAGAAGGTAACATGATTAAAACATACCTACAAGGGATAAGACTATCAAAACACATGCACCCAATTCAACAGCTCTGCGGCTTCCCATCTTAGTCACTGCAATTGTATGAACATTTTCCGTAAGTGTTGTGGATCCTGTTCCGATACCCCAGAGACCAGCTAATATACTCGATAAACCCTCAAGGCCAATTCCTCTGCTAACAACACCGGGAGTTGGAGGCCTGGATGACACCAGCAATGATGATGCATGGTATGAACCAACCTAAGAAATTCAGCAACCCAGGTATGTCAGGGTCATATAAGCAACTTCAAACAACAAAATGGAAACAAAGACGAGTAAAGGCAGAAATCACATAAAATAGGCATCCTTCTACAAAATCTGGGGAAAATAATTTAAACTATTGCAAATTGAGGTAGACATGAATTCTTTATGCTTTATAGCCGCTGGTTGCGAGTCAGTTCGGTTAACACAGGAACCAGTTCAACCCCAGGGCACTTCAAGAACTGAATATATGGAAGGCATAAAACGAGATATATATGCAATATGCTAGTTTTTGGTAATTTGATCATCTAAGTGCTTTCAAAAATGCATACGTTTCCATAGTTCAATCTTTTGCAACTTGAGGTCAACCATCAACTGAGATTTTTTATGGTACAAAGGTCCCACATGTAGTCAATTTGGCTTATAGGGGCACTAGGTCTACACTAAGGGGCTTCAAGATCTACACACATTATGAAGGCATGAAAAAAAGATAGGCATGCACGGATATGATAGAATGGATAATTTTAATCATCCACAAGCTTTCCAAAGTTCTGCAAAAATCAGCAATGGGTCAATGGACTTGACAGTAGCATGATAACATAGAGAGTCAGATAAACTAAACCAAGGTGATTGAAACCCCCAAGGGGTGTTTGGTTCACTACAAATAAGATAACTCTGAGAATTGGATTACTGGAATGTAAAAGTAAGTGGCACATTATTGGGTACGTTATATTATTTCTTTGTTTCATTTGGCTGGAATGTTAGACATTGGTGTTAGGTTGGCAGAACATAAGATTACCTACAAATATATTTTACTAAATTATCATCACGATAGATTTTTTTAACAGGTTCAGTCTTCAGCATTAAATTGGAAGAAACTAATATGAAAGTTCATAGAGCGCTTTCCATTGGGCTCTACCTAATGTTAGATTTAACTTATAATTAATATATTAGACAATGCTTAAAAGCAACTGCACATACTATTAACATAATTAATATATATACCAATATATTTTATGTATGAATAGAAGTCTAATTTGTAATCCGATTTTTTTATTTAGTTTAAAGGATTAAGTTGAAAAAAAACTATAAACTTGAGGGATAAAATTGTCAAAAAAAATTAACATTCTCATGGGAATATAACATTATAAAATAGGAGGTAATGAAATTATCCGTTATATTCCGAAACACTGTCAACTATTAGGAATCTTACTTATCTTATATCACGGGCATAATCGTACATTGCCCAAACTACACGTACACAAAAAGGAATTTAACCCAAATGAAAATAAGAACCTATGCACTTATACTTGCACTTCAATGGGATAACATGGAACTGGCATGTCAATCAACAAATGAATGATTACAATTTACAACAATTTGTTATTCCCTCATGAATATTACAATACCTAAAATCTATGCCCTTTAATTTACCATCTTAACACTATATATTGATCGCAAAACAATTCAAATAGATCTCAAAAAGAATTCATTAATCTTAGTTATGATTAGAAAGATAAGTCTTATGAGTCTTTGTAATCTAGATAGAAGTTTATCTTTAAAGTCCTATTAGAAGTCAGCAACTCAGTCTATTTACACTCTTGTAATCTCCTACTTCAGCAATCAGATTTTTTTTCTTGCATTAGCTCCATTATTCTTTCCCTCTCTATTGATTTATTCACTTAGATTACAACAGTTTCAAACTATATATATGTTAGGATCCACTTATACTTGGCTTAAAATTTTTAGTTTTACACCCTTTTAGGACCATTACATTGAGAGAAATCAAAGGCTAAGATTAACTATTTTTTCCAGTGAATATCTTCTCATTTTCTACTATTAATATCAAACTTTAATTTCTCTCCTCCAATGGTCCTAAAAAGGTGTAAAGCATAAACAGTTTTACACAATGTAATTGGATCTTGCCCCTGTATATATAATCTCATCTCTTGGTAGGTCTGAACCAAAATCATTTAGCACTTTTATATGCATAGAAATTCCAGGATCTTTAGAAATCATGTAAGCAATGCTAACCCACAACAGATAACATGAATCGGCACCAGTAGTGTTGATGCTACTCGTGTAAAAGAATTAGAATCTATGACATGAGTTCCCATTGCATCAAATTTATGAATCTACAGTAGATGTATCAATGTTATAGATGATAGGAAACTAACCGAATCCACCGAGGCAATTATTGAAACCACACACATGACAATGGCCATTTTCCAGTGGAAGACGGGAGTTCCCCATTGTAATGGATAAGGAAACCTAAACCATGGGGAAGATTTGAATGCATGAGATGTATCAACCCGACAATGCTTCATCCTCGAGACATGTTTTCTGCAATGCTCAGATATTATATTTGAGACAGGGATATTCGTATCACAGCCTTTATAGCTATAGGCTCCTGCTTCGGTGAGAAGGAAAGCAACTCCCCATGTGATTACAAGGCTCAAAGGGACCTGGCAGTTAGCAAAAAAATCCATATCATGGTCAGAAAATACATGTGCCAATGCATTAAAAATGCATACCAAAAGCTAAAACAAAGTGTGCAGAATGATGAGGTTGTAAACTTACAGCATAGATTAGGAATATCCGATGGCCGAGAACAGATATCTTACGAAGATACTGCAAAAATGAGACATTTTCAAATTTTTTTTTTAGCTCACAAATACGTAACAAAGAAATGTTCTGACTGTAATTATCTAGGCATTCAGTCAACAATAACATGATCGACGGTAATTACAATGGAACAAAAACTTTTAAAGTGAAATGAGAATCAGAAACTTACAAGAGAAAATATAATGACCATCAATATCTGCACGATACCAATCTCAAGACAATTCCCCACTAGTGGGAAACCGTAACTATAAAAAGAAAGTCCAACAGCTGCAACGGTAGGTGCAACGACTACTGGGTTGATTAACCTGCAAAAAAGAAACATAAATGAACCTGGCTTATATTTACCACACAGTGGGAAGATTTTAGTGCATGCAGAATTAGTATGATATGATCGAACAGCTAAATTAATGTCATTTGATGTGATGTTTAGAGAAGGTTATCAGATTTTTTTTCTTCCAAAAAGTTGCAATATAAACCCCTTCAGAATCAGGTTTGCATTATGCTTTCTGTTGATGCATCTTATTTGTAGCCTTTATAAAGTAGCTTTAACGCCACTTCATAGTTGCAAAACATGGAATAGAGGTGGAGGGTAGCAATTGAATTATGTCTGCTTTAGCAAAAATCTAACCTCACCATTTCAGAATCAAAACAAAGTTAATCAGAGTAAATGAATATTGAAAAACGTAAAGCACAGCGATTATTGACATGAACCAAGAACCAAACTCTACCCAGTTTTAAAAGCTCTAGATGATTGAGTCTTCATTTTAACCATTTATATGTTCAAACCAAAGAATAAATGCAGTTGATTGTTCCAAAGTATTTTACCAAAGACTGTCATTACCATCATATACATTTAATCGCGGGACCTTATTATCAACTTTTACGTTGATATTTGAGGTCTATGAAAGAAAACCATATAAAAAGGGTTAAATACAGAGTTGGACCCTCTATTGTCAGTGTAATATCTAAAAAGTTAAAATTTGCAACTACGCACTTAAGCATTCTTTGGGCCTATGAATAACACAATAAAATATGACATACCTTCAAAAAAATGACATGTGGCAAAATGTCCTAGTCATCAATATGAAAATACTAAAAAAAGGAATCAAAAGGAAAGAAAAAAGAAAATTGTATAAATAATTCAAAATTAAAAAAAAAATAAAAGAACATAAATTCCAAAGCCTTTATGGATAAAAGGACAAAACGAAGAGGCATTCTACATTAATCCTTCTCAATACAAATTTTTACTAAAGAAATCTTCACTGTTGATATTATAACACTCATGGTCAATCATAGCTAATCTATCCAATTACTCATAATTTGCAGTATTCCCAATTCTCTACAGTAAAAAGACTAATAATAATGCTGAGGTGAATTTGACTTTGAAGACTGGGAAATGATATATACCTCAAGAATAATGACATTAGTCCACTGTATCCAAGTAATGCTTGAAAAGCTGAAGCTATGATAATTGCCCCTTGCAACTCCTTCATGATATGCTTGAAGTTCTGCCAAGTTGAAATGAGTCAGCACTGTAGATGTTAAGAAACTCAAATTTCCCATCTCATACAATGAAATTTAGGTAACGAAGAAGTATTCATGTACAAAAAAACTCTAGTAGTATCACTGATTACTTCTATGACAGAGAGAGAAAGAGAGTGATGGGACAGAAATTAAGCTATCATATTAAAGATTTTTAGTGTTCTTGCATTGTATTACCAAGCCATTAATTAACAATTTTCAACCAACATTATTCATTTCTACACAGCATATAAAATTTAAATGTTAACTTGTCCTAAACAACGACGACACTAGAGAAGCAACGATTTCAGCCCTTTACAGAAACCAAAGAGTTACGCATAACTGGATCAAATAATTAATTGCATCAATTGGCCAGTGTCATGTCAATCAAGTACTGAGAAAACGAATTCTATTCATTGATTTGTAATTTACAGATTAAGAGGGGCTTCATATCGAGAACATATTATTAATATGCACAGCTTGACATCCCATGTTTATTAGTCAGTAAAATATCCTTAATTTGTGTAAATTCTTTATTGCTACACTATTTAGTCTTAGAGTTGTAAACTACAATCCTAATTGGCATAGAAATATCATGTATATAAATCCTAATATAAAAACAGTTGAATGCATGAAATGATAATATCTATTAATCAAATAATTTAGAACTTCTGCAGCTATATACAAGTAAATACTTACTGAAATGATGGATAAATGAAAAACAACATTTTTAATAGCATAACTATGACCCAAAAATAGAAGCGTACATTCCCATTTAGTCCTCGGAACTCTGGAGAGTTGATTATCGCTAATGCAGGAGCAAGGAAAACAAATGATGAACCTTGTATCAGAGGCAACCGTGACCCCAAGAATGAATGCAATAGTGTGGTCACTCCAGACACAAAGAGTACTGTCGACACCACATTTGCAGTATCCTCCTACAACCACTAAACCCAATCAGATCAAGCAATCCACAGTCTAAATTCCCAAATGTATGTGATTCGAATTGAAATAAAACATAATTTAACCACTCACATAAGTGCCACCCATTGCCGGAACTATAACGAGCGGGATAAGAATCAATGAACCCAACAATGAAAGATAATGCTGGAACCCGTAAAGACCAATAGGAACTGAAAAGGAAAAAGAAGCAATCCAAACATAATTATTCTCAAATCACCAAAAAATAACATTTCCAATAGAATCTAATTGTCATCAAAATGAACATAAATGAATAGCAAAATTTGTTAGTTTGGCACCAAATCATCAGTTTCGTAATCACATTTTTAGAAGCAATGATACATCAAAAGTATAAAGAAAATCAGCAATAACATTAAACAAAGAGCAGAGCAGATGGACTACACCCAAAATGGTTAAAAACCTAGAAATAAAGAACTAAAATAAATATTGCCTCTAAAACCATTAAATGCACACGCTTTTAAACCCCAGAATAGAAAAATAAATAAATGAAAAGAACAAATAATGTTTCAAAAATTAAAATTAAGCATACCCATTTCAGTTGTCAATTCAGAAAATAAGACTAAATAAAATATATTTTTTTTAAAAATCATATTCTACTTTCAGATGGTAAACACCAACAAACAAGCCACAGTCGTATAAAAAAATCACAAATACCCATCTGACTAAAAAAAGATATTTCATTCTCAACAAACTTCAAAAAATGAAAATAGAGAAATGAAAGGCAACAGTGAAAACTACCAAGACCAGGAGTATCTCTAAGCTCATATTTCATATGCGAGTGCCTTCCCACGAATCCATCATCATCCACATTTTGCGGCAACACATCCACCACTTCCTCATTCCTAGACGCCCTCCTAGTCGGCTGCTGCGGCTGTGGCGCCGCCCCATTGTTAACCGTATGTCCGTTAGCAGCGGAAGCGGAACTCCCTTTATTCGCCCCATCAACCTCCCTCCTCTTCTTCTCCGCCGGGCCCTTCCCATTCACCGGTTGTTGCTCCCCATTCACCGCCGCTGGTGCAGGTCGAACCCGACCCACTTCAAGATCAGCCTGGCTGTTGTTCTCTCTAGCCCTGGAAGGCAACTGTACTTGACCCGAGTCACTGGCATTTGTTTCCCCAGAGAACTTGGGCTTAAACCCAGTTTTCTTAGCCCAAGAAGAAGGCGGAATAGGAGGCGCATCGGAAGCTGGAGGCAAAGCAGGAGGTTTGGATCGGGTTTTCGGGTCAGACGACGGCATTAGAAAAGAGAAAAGGGCAGAATCTGTTAGTGGGTCATAGCTTTTGAGGTTGGAGATGAATATTACAGATCTGGGTTTTGAAAAGAAAGGAGGAAAGCAGTCGTTCTTTTAGGGTATCTGGAAAAAGATAGACGCCTAGAGAAAAGAAGAAGAAGAGAAGTTGGGTTTGGGGCAGTGGTAAGAGAAAGGAAGAAATGAGCTGAGTTTAGACATTTTAGTACAAATAAAAGGAGATGAGAGATGATAAAAGGGTAAGTGTTGGAATGAGCTGAGTGAGGGAAGGGAAGGGGAAGGAGACTTTTAAGAAAATGTACTTGGTGGACCCTCTCCCAATATAATTATGTATTATTATTTTATTTTATTTGAATTAATTAATTAATTTTAAGATAAATTATGTATTTAATCACTTAACTATTATTACAGTTTCATTTAAATTGTAATCACCTACGTTTTTATTTCGGTTATCTATCATTAAAAAATAGACAGAATTGATGATGTGGTATTTTTTAATATTTTTTACAATGATGATGTAGTATTATCTTATGGTGATACGTAGACATCATTGTTAATATTTTTAATGGTCGATGACTAAAATAGAATAAAAATATAAGTTTAAGTGTGATTTAAAAAAAAAAATTGGATAATCAAAACATAATCACAAAATATAATTTTAATATCAATCACCCTATTCTAATCGCTAATGCTCGAACACGTGACTCTAAAAATAATAACAATTCTTTTAACTATTAAGATTAATTGATTTATGCAATATTTGTATATAATGATAAAGAATATTGTTTTATTAAAAGTTGATATTAAATCTCAAACAACTTTTTCTCTACTTAGAGAAAATCAAGCGTGGTTCAAAGATTAAAAGAAACTTAAGGTAAAACAATGGTAATTTTTTTTTATTAATATAGGGTAAAACAATGATAAACAATGGTAAGTACAAGTTAATATATGTTTAAAGAAAAAATTTTAATTTTTTTATATTAATCGCCCTTGACATTTATAGTGCTTGAACTTGGATCCTCGAGAATAATAACGATTCCTTTACTACGGATATCATTTGGTTCGTACAATAATAAATTATTTAAATTGTTATACGAATGCACAAAACGTTATTGAAGGTAAATAAATTAACAAAAGGGTACCTAAGGCCCTCCACTTTTCAAAACAAAACCAATATGACTCTTCACATTTTTTTCACTCAATGTGCCCATCTGATTTAAAAAAAAATTCAATGTGATCCTTTAATCAACGTTTTTCGTCGATTATCGATTCGTTTAATGTTATTATAAATTAAGAAAATTATGTCATTCATCATTCAACTATTTTTTTCTCTTCTATTTTAGTCACTAAAATATGTATAAATATACATATTATTAAAAAATGTATAAAATAAATAAATTAATTAAATTAGGTTCATATAATTTTGTTTATAACAACATATGCGGTTTGCTGATGAAGTCTATTAAAAGTGTTTATATATATTTAAAAGTGTATATTGTTCCCTCTACAATAAAAAGAAATAGTCCAATCCCTTTAATCATATTTTAAAGTTTATTTTAGTCCATATACTATAAAAACGAACAATTTAATCCTTATACGTTTGAAAAATGAATATTTTGATCTAAAATTTTAAATTTATATTAATTAACTTAAATATTTTGATTTAAACATCCTTTAAATCTCTGTCAATTTTAAAATTGAGGCATTTGATCCCTTTTGAAAAAGTGAGAACAATTTATTCAATGTACATTTTAAAAATGATATAAGGCGATGTTAGAATTTTATATCATATGACATGTGCTTAACTGTGATTGGATAATAATTTTAGATAAAATAAAAACAAAAAATTGTAATATTTTTCATAATTTTTAAGATTTTAATAAAATCTTAAATTTTTTTATGATTTTTGTGGCGTCTTTTTAAGCTAACCCTTACTTTTACTCTAAATCTAAAATTCCTAAGAAATTCAACGTATATTTTTTCAACTAAACATTTTTCTATGTTGTCTTGTATTTGTAATAATATGATAAGTGAAGATAATGATGTTTGGAGATGGAATAGGATTAATTTTTTATTTAGATTTATATGTATTCAAAAAAAATTATGTAAAACGCATGAATCAATTTATTTTTGTGGTTAAAGGAATCGTTGTTGTTCCTAGAGGTCATGGTTTCGAGAATACTACTTTGTAATTATTTTAGCTTAATCAAAAAAATATGTAAAACTTATAGGTTCGATTCAAACAGTTGTATCTGTACGTGTGCGTGCATTCTCAATAATTAAAAAATATTTTGAACAAATAATATTTTGTAACCATATTATATTATTCAAGAAATTTAAGTAAAAATCATATAAAATGTTTTGAGAAAACTCAATTTGTTTAATAAGGACCTAAAAAGTGTTTAAACCAAAATATTTAAATAAGCTAATATTAACATTAGCATCTAAGACCAAAATGTTAATTTTCTAAACGTATAAGGAAAAAAATTCTTTTGTTAGTTGAAAGATTAAAATAAACTTTTAGATATAATATAAACTCTGAAATATTTTTTATATAATAAAGAAACTAAAACTAATTGAATTTTTAAATATAATATATAATATAAGAAGTTTTAATAGACTTTAAGACGTCCTTCACTCGTTTACATTCGTAAGATATAGTTTTTTTTCGAGATTATCGAGATAATATTGTAATAAAAATGATAAATTACACTCATTCATCACTCAACTATTTTTTACTCTTTTTTAGTTATTAAAGTTTAAAAGCTTTCAATTTAATCACTTAATTTTCGTACTGTCACTGTTTTGGTCACTCTAGATTGAAATAAAAATGGCTGTCCCTTTTTCCCATATGTATGAGGTAAGGGGGAGGTAAGATAGTAGACTACCCCCAACACCAGGTTGAGAGCAACTTCCGTAAGAGACCTCCGAATTATAAAATGCCCTCCGTGGGACTCGATCCCATGACCTTAAGGTTAAGAATCTTGTGCTTTACCAACTGAGCTGGTTGGTCATTTCTTCACTCTAGATTGAAATGATGTTTTTAATATTTTCTCGTAACATGACATATCTTCTTATGACCAATGGACGGAGGATGGTTGGAAAGGAAGAGGGTCGTGGACGGATGGTGGTAGAAATGACTAATGAAGGCATTGTATATTTTAATTTTCTTTTTCCTTTTTATTTTGAACATTACATAGCATTGTATAAATTAAATAATTTTAAATTTTAATGATCAAAATAGGAGTGAAATGATAGTTAAATGATATAAAGTTTTAGTTTACCTATAAAATACTTGTGAGACATTTCAATGCTTGTTTGAAAGCGGTCGTGTTGTGTGGACTAAACTATATATTTTTTAAGTTTAATATAAAAATAAGTATGTAAATTATAGTTTTTTCTCTTTAGGTAGTTAAATTATTTTTTCAATCAATTCAAGTGTCTCATGTTATAATCGTTACCATTTTAAGTACTTCAACTATAATGTCTTTAAAAATCTTATTAAATGACATATGTCGTATTTTGATAATTTTGAAGATTTTATTTTTTTTAGGCTTAATACAAAAATAAGTGTCTAAACTATACCTAAAATTGGCTTTTGGTGCCTAAAGAATTTTTGTTAAAAATAGATAGCTAATGTTTTCTCCGTTACACTTTTAGGTGCCTACCGTTAAAAAAAATGATAAGTGACATGTGTCACGTTTATACTTTTTGATTTTTAAAAAAAATATTATTTAAAAATTAAAAAAATTTTGAATGAGACACGTGTCACTTAACGGTAAACACCTAAAAGTGCAAACGGAGAAAATATTAAACATCTATTTTTATCAAAAAAATTCTTTAGACACCAAAAATAAATTTTGAGTATAGTTTAGGCACTTATTTTTATATTAAGCCTATTTTAAAAAAACTTAAAAATAAATTATTATTTTTAAATATTTTAAAAATATATTTGAAACATATTATGATATATTTTCTTAACGTTTTGCTAAATGGTATTTGAATGATTTCGAGTATGAACTGCCCAATACACTATTATGTGATATTTTGATATTATCGATATTGATATCTTTGATACATGGATGATATATGATTTTGCTAAAAAATGTCCATTGTATGTACATTGAGATTGTCTGGTATAGTTTTCATGCCATAGAGGTGGAGTATAAACAACGACATTATGCACATAGTAATGTGATTTTAGTACTATTGTGCGTAGTTACATTGAGTACATGATAATGTGATTTTGGTACTATGTTACTCTAAGGAATGTAAAAAATAGAAATGTGATATTGATACTATGGTATTCCCGATTATCGATACATGATGTTTTGTTCTACAATATTTGCATATTTGTCTGGAACTAAAAGTGCAATATGTGGATAATTGCATTCTCATTTAATATACATTGGGCTATGAATTGAAGGGTTTGATTGATTTGAATGAAAATAAATATTTCATCAAATACTCTTATTTGACATTAAATGCTCTATATTGAACTGTTAAATTATAGGTTATTTTATAATAAAGTGACTTTGAAATAAGTCTGTTTTATATGTTCATATGTTACTACTTGATATTTTCTATACTATTATTTATGTGACATTTTATACAATGATATGTTTTACTTTAAATATGAAAATGCATCACTAAGCGTATACTTAGCATGTGATGATTTTCAAGCGTAGGTAAATGATATCAAGCAGAGTAAGGAGTCATAGTCTTTTGGTATCATCTTTTGAGGATCATCTCACCAGTATTAGTATGACATCTTTTTGGTGTTTTTAATTTTATAGTGGGCATGTATATTTATGTGTTAGTAATACTCTGATATAAATATGTTTTAGACGGTTTTGTTATATTTTATATGTGATGGTTTATCATGAATAATACTTATTATTAGTGGTTATAAATAGTTATTTACTTGCTACATGGTATGATATTAAACTGTTACATTGCTGCTTAAAATTGAGTACGATTTGAATGTTAAAACATTATATTTTGATTTTAGGCGATTTATTAATTTATGATTTATTGATTTTGAAAGGAATGATTTTTTAAAGGAACAAATTTGTATCGAATTTTTTATTATTGAATGCTTTGAAATTGTCATGTGATATATCTGACTCGTATTCGGTGACGGATTCGAGAATTGACTATTACATTTATTGGTGTCAGAGCTATAGGTTTAGTCGATTCTAGGCTTAAACCAAGTTTGTTTTGAATTGAAAAATGTATAAATGCCACCATGATGTCATTATTACTGATATGGT